AAGGACCGAAGTACACTGCTGAGGGGAGCAGTGGGCAATGCAGGAGAGGTCTGTGCGCCATGTGGGACCCTCACCTGGTGGTGGGGGATCGAACCGGTGCTGCAGAGGCTGTGGGCAGCTTCAAGCCCAGCGCTCAACTGCTGCACCATCAGGGAGTCCCGTTTTTTATTTTTCTTTCCAAGTATTTTGTGAGTTTCTAAAGGGCAGGGGCTAAGTCTCACCATTGTACCTGTCCTCAGCCTCCAGCACAGCATCTCTTCAGAGCAGAGAATGGGGTGTTTTTAGGATGGAGGCACAAAGGAAGAATGGATGGCTGGCAGCTGGTCTCACCAGCATCTTCACCCTCTTTTCTATGCTATCGATGACTGCCCTTCCTCATCTTGCAGTGAAACCCAAGCAGAGTCCACTGGATCCCTTTGCTGGAAGCACTTGATATCAGTGTCCAGCTATCCAGACTGCCCCTCTCCTGCAGAAATATCTGTGTAAGAGAACTTGAGTTGAGGTGGCAGCCTGCCTGGAGGTCCTTAAAATGGACAATGGCAGGACTGAAGTCATGGGCAGCAGCTGACTTGGCATATCCCAAGATGCCTTTGTCATTTTAAGCCACTGAAACGTCAGTTGTCACCTCTAACTTCATCCATGTAACCCATGCTTCTTATTTTAAATCCCTAACGATTAAGGGTCTAATTAGGTGACAGAGCTGAGTGGGATTCTATGTGGAAATTTGCACCTCAAATATAACCTACTTAAAATCAGAGTAATTCTGGGTAAGAGAAAGGGTTTTGGAGTGATATTGATGGAGTTGCCCTGGCTCCAACAATTTACCAGTTATGTGTTCTGAGCTGGCAGTTTTCAATTGTTTTGGGTTCAGGACCACATTATACTCTTAAAGTTTCTCGATCATCCCAAAGAAGTTTGGTTTATGTGGGTTATACCTATGGATATTTGCTGTATTAGATAAGACTGAAAAATTTAACTATATTAATAATACTTAACCCATCGCATGCTATATACTCTACTTTATATGAGACATAACTGTATTTCCCAAAAGAAAAAAAATTTAGTGACACAAGTGTCATTATTTTATATTTTGGTAAATTCTCTAGTATCTGGTTTAAGATGTGTGATTCTCCTATTTGTGTCCTCATTTTGTCTGTTGGGATATATTGTTTTGGATGAAAGAATGAAGAAAATACAGCCAGTAGGAGGTGCAGCAAGTATCATACAAATACACCACTGAAAAATGGAGGGATTTTTATAACTTTTTTTCAAATAATAGTGGGCATTCTTTGTTACTAGACCAAAATTCAAGACAATTGGGAGTTAGTTGCAATGTGGAATCTGAAACCATGTCAGTGAATATTTATTCTGCATTACATAAAAACCATAGGTCTATCTTTTACTTTGTTTTTTTTTAATTTTATTTTTTTTAAATAATAAATTTTATTTTTATATTCCCCATACAATTGCAACCCCCCCATTCTGACCCCAATCCCTCCCCTCCTGCCCCCCACCCCCCAAAAAGTGTCTCTGGTTCATAGTTTTTTGTTGATTTTGATTTTCACTTTCTTATAGCTATTCATTTTCCTGGTACCTTATTTAAGTTTTCTAGATTCCTGCTATGAGTGAGACCATCCGGTATTTTTCTTTTTCTTTTTGGCTTATTTCGCTGAGCATGATCCCTTCCAGCGCCATCCATGTTGCTGCAAATTGCATGTGTTTATCTTTTTTGAATGCTGAGTAATATTCCATGGTATATATGGACCACATCTTCTTGATCCAGTCATCTATTTTTGGGCATTTGGGCTGTTTCCAAAGCATAGCTATTGTAAATAGTGCTGCTATAAACATAGGGGTGCAGGTGTTCTTTGGAATTGATGTTTCTGTGTAAAATGGAGGGATTTTTATAACTTTTTCAAATAATAGTGGGCATTCTTTGTTATTAGACCAAAATTCAAGACAATTGGGAGTTAGTTGCAATGTGGAATCTGAAACCATGTCAGTGAATATTTATTCTGCATTACATAAAAACCATAGGTCTATCTTTTACTTTGAATGGTACTTTTCCTTAGCCTGTCCATGAGTTTTTAACATTATCATAGGTCATTTGGAAAATAATTATTTCGTGGAAATAAGTGAACCTTCCAAAGGTTGACCATATCAGTAAATTACATGTTAATACCACCCCTCATCTCATCAAATAGTCCTTAAGGGTTGGGAAGGTGTTAAGTTCATGGTGGCAGACACAACTTTTCAAAAATTCAAATTTCTTGAGAAAGCTTGAATTTTATGCTGGCAACAAATAACATTAGTTGTTTTCTTTAAAGGGACACCCTCACCTTTATTTTTGTGAAGATGTTTGCTCAGTCCCCAAGGCTAAAGACTATGCTTTGTCAGTCTTTCTATCAACTATAAAAATTGTTCTGTGAAAAAAAGCATTTGGTTCAGCTTGGGACATAAGCAATCACAGTGCTCTTTCTTAGGGCATATGTTTATAGACAGCAGAAGTACTTCTATGCTATACCTCAGTTTGCCACAGAAAATATTAAACAGATGCATATTCAAGGGTGTAAGTTAATAGTAATTTTTGGTGTTTCATCTAGGATCCTTTTAAGTGAACTTGTTTTTTCTCCCCATTGCAGGTAGCTGGTTGCCACAGTCTTGATTGGTGCTGAGGCAACACAGAGGGAAAAAAGCAAATGTTTTATATCATTATAGTTTTGCTCTTCTGAACCTGGACACCCTGGGGGTTTGTTTAAGAGGACTGTGGGCCACACAGTGAGAATCACTGTCCCTAGAAAAATGACTTAACCTTTTTAAAACATGTATGAAGTGCTTCTGAGAGTTAAATATTTTTTACATTAAATAATGCATGGAAACTACTTAGTGTAGTGCCTGATAGATACATTTCTATTAAATGTTACTACTAATATATTGATAACATGGAAATAGAGCTCTGTCAGCCGCAATAGAAGTAATGATAATGATCATTTATTTTTCTCCACAATCTCATTTCTCTGGCAGTTCTCCATTTTAGTTCATTGCTCATCTGTCTCTTCTGAGGTGGCCTCTTTTGATCCAGCCAAGGATGACTCACTGCCAAGTACTGTGGATCTGACCTCTGTCACGCTTCCACAGCCATCCTTCTCTTCATGCTACCACCACAGTTACAAGAGGACGACCTTGTGAAAAGTGCCCTTCAAGGCAGTTAGTATTTGACCTGCCTGTGACTCAGCTTGCTGATCTGTAAAGTGGGAACAAAAATAGTCCTTTTAAGTATGTTTTGTGAGGGTCAACTGAAATGATACATTTGAAAGTCTGGCAGGGTTTCCAGCTGTAGCATGTGTTCAGTGCATGTTAGTTTGCCTTTTTTCTTCTACTTTTCTCACTTTTTCATTCTCATTTTCCCTCTCTAATCAATTCAAAACATTACCATTGAATTAATTTTCTCCCAGTATTGCTCATTCAGTCAGCGTGTGACACACATGAACTAGACATTTGTTGTGTACTGGGCTGAGAGGAGATACAGATTAGGACACCAGATAGGCCATGAGAGCTAGTCTTGTGGTGGTGAATTCTGTCATTTGTCACCTGCTGAAACGTCTTTCCCATCTCCCCACTGCTCTCCGGTTACACTCAATGGCCGGTCAGTGTCCTTAGCATGGCATTCAAATGAAGTGGCCTTGGAACCAGCTTCCTCCCTATATTCATGTGTTGGCCAAACTGAAGTCTTCACCAGACTCTGAACTCATAGGCCCCGGCTTCCAGAACTCACCTGTTCCCTGTGCTCAAGTGTCCTTCCCTTCTCTATCTGTTAACAGCCCATGGGGTCCTTAACTCTACAGGGGTTTGCATTCCCCTCCCACTCTGGGTTGTTCTTGAGCTGGATGAGCAAACAAATGAACATTAGGCAGATTAGTAAGAGAAAGAGACCAAATTTATTTATTTAAAAGATTTATTTATTTATGCATACAAGAACCGGGGTGCAGGCCAGAGGTGCGGGGATTGGGGGCGTGTGTGAGAAGATTCACCAGCGATGGAATGGGAGCAGAACAGGCAGACATACAGAAATATACTGCTGAAGGGGGCAGCGAACAAGACAGGAGAGGTCTGCTGTGCCATGTGGGTCAGCTCTCTGGCCAGGGATCAAACTCGTAGAGTGTTTCTGGTTCATAGTTGTTTGTTGATTTTGATTTTCACTTTCTTATAGTTATTCATTTTCCTGGTCCCTTATTTAAGTTTTCTAGATTCCTGCTATGAGTGAGCCCATCCGGTATTTTTCAGGGAGGGGAGGGATTGGGGTCAAAATAAGGGGGTTGCAATTGTATGGGGAATATAAAAATAAAATTTATTTAAAAAAAAAAGAAAAAACGAAAACAAACAAACAAACAAAAACAAACTCGTGCTGCAGTGGCTGGCGATAGCTTGACAGCGCTGAGTTTAATCCCTGCACCACCAGGGAGGCCCAGAGACCAAATTTAACTATCTACATATTTACATGTAGAGAGAATTTACATGGCTGAAAATTCCAAAGTAAATGGGACAGAGTGAGGGTTTATATTCTGAGCTAAGGAACGGGATGGATGTTGGGCATCAAAGCAAGAGGAGGGGGACTGACAAAATGAGAACAGAATGTCTTCACATGACAAAACCTCTGTATGTTTGCCTTGCCTTAAGATAGATTTCTTGGGTAAAAAGTTATTTCTGGAGATGACTCTAAATCTGGGTAGCCTAATTTTTTTTTTAAGATTTACGCATACAAGAACTGGAGTGTAGACCAGAGGTGTGAGGGGGTGAGAGAATTCACCAGGGACAGAGTTGGGAGCAGAACAGGCAGCCTGACTGAAATACACTGCTGAGGGGAGCAGTGGGTGAGACAGGAGAGGTCTGCTGTGCCATGTGGGTTAGCTCCCTGGCCATGGATCAAACTCGAGCTGCTGAGACTTTAACCCCTGCACCACCAGGTAGACCTTAGATAGTCTTAATTAATTTTTTTTTAAGGTGAACAACATTTATTGTCTTTCACATATTTCATAGAAAAAGGAATGTAGCAAAGGGGTCAGATCATTTGACTAGAAATGCAGGTTTGGACAAATGGCTCTATTTACATCTGGAGCAGGCTCTCTAAGATCAGGCACAGCAGCTGCACTTGCCTGATGCCCCTTTGCAGATATAACCCTGGGTGCACTTGGCACAGCCCTGGGAGCAGCAGGAGCAGCAGCTCTTTTTGCAGGAGGTGCATTTGCCCTCTTTGCATTTGCAGGAGCCAGTGCAAGAGCAGGATCCACCAATGGCACAGGAACAGCTGTGATCCATGATGAGCACAGGTGGCTAGACAAGAGTCTGGAGACAGGTATTGAAGGCACAGGCAGCACTTTGAGGAGGTGTGGTGGTGGTAGTCTTTATTTTTTAAGATTATGGTAATTCTCCCAGGTACATAGGACCTCAGCTTCACATGCCAATGGGATACATTGGAAAAAGCCCATCTGAACCTTTTATGGGAGGCTAGAACTTTTTATTATGGCTCCTACAATCCCCAGTTCAATCACCCAGGTGTGTGAGCCTTTCTCTAGTCCCCAGGTATGTGGGGGTCCTTCTCCCTGTCTTCTGTCACATTTGTTCAGATGCACTTTAGGGCACTTGCTGTATTCTATAGAGCCTTTGTTGCTCCTGTTGATATGCTGTCATTTCAGGAGCCATTCCTCATCTTCACTGACAACATGAAGACATATGATTCCAGAAAGGAGAATGAAACACCCAAGTGGATCATCTATTTCTGATCAGAAATTTCTGGTGGATAGTTCACTTTGTAGAGAAATCTTTATACCACCCTGTCTTCAAAAGGGCAGAAAAATGGCAATGGCTTAGGATTTCTGGGCTTGCCCTGGATGCCTGCCAAGATGACAGCGTCTGCTGTATTTTGGTTCACAGATGCTAGTCTGTAAGGATCCTTTGGTTAAGCCTCTTTGGGTACAGATCTTGGTGAAAGCCTGGACTGACAGGAGGGTTTCACCTCTAATCTTTGAAGAGCTGTGGAAGTTCAGTAAGACAAACATCTTCAGGTTGTTGGAGAGATCACTGTATTTATGTCATCCAAGTATCCTTCCTGGGCACTTAATATTGGTGGAGGGTGTGGCCATTGGATCTACTCTGAGCAAAGGTTTTTGCCATTTCTTCTTCTTGTCTCACTCTTCTCCCATTGAGGATAAAGATTTTCTCTCTTCCCTAAAAGTTAAGGTGAAGAGGTGAAGAGACATCAGGCAACAGATGAAGAGACAGTCGCTTTCCTATTACCAGGTATATACCGATTCTGGGGGTGTAGGTGGTTAAATAGTGGGTCTGATGATCCCATACCATTATGTCTGAAAGACTCAGTTTTAGACTGTCTGATCTACTGTCACCCCCTGGGCCTGTTTATAGGCTTGGAAAATAATCTCCAAGGCTACTAATAATTTATAAGGTCACTTGTCTGTATGTGAAGAGAATGACCCTCCTGAAACCTAATGAGAGGGCCCCTAGAGAATGGAGAATTGGAATCTGGTTCCTTGACCTCTGTTGCTATAGAAACAGGAGGCTCTTCCAAGTCTGGAAAGAGAGAGAGAACGGAGCTGGGTATTAAGCCCCTGGCTCCTTTTTCTGAGTTTTAATTCTGAGGCTATTTTGTTCCTCCAAAGGTGCACACATTGTATTTGCCCTTCACCAAACCACTGTGCCAATACTCTATATGCCTCCCGACATGCCCATTAAATATTTTCACAAAGTCCAAGATTTATCACTGCTTTATTTTATGCTGTTTTCCTTTGTTATTTATATTTCACAGGTGAGTGAAACCATCCAATATCTTTCCCTTTCTGACATTTCATTTAATCAACTTGAGTTCCATGCATTTGCCCCCAAAGCAACTTTTTCATCTTTTTAACAGCTGTGTAGTATTCCATCGAGCATATGTTTCAGTTTCTTTATCCATTTGTCTATTGGAGGGTACATAGGTGGGTTTCATAATTTGGGAATTGTGGAAAGTGCAGCTATGAACATAGGCGTATATAAATCTTTTTTGTATTAGTTTTCATATTTTTAGGATACTTAATATAGGTTTGACAGGATCATATGGCATTTCCATTTTTTTCTTTTTATATATATATTTTTTAATTTAAATTTTATTTTTATATTCCCCATACAATTACAACCCCCTTATTTTGACCCCAATCCCTCCTTTCCCTGCCCCCCACCCCCCCATACGGTGTCTCTGGTTCATAGTTGTTTGTTGATTTTGATATTTTCTTTCTTATAGTTATTCTTTTTCCTGGTCCCTTATTTAAGTTTTCTAGATTCCTGCTATGAGTGAGACCATCCGGTATTTTTTTTTTCTTTCTGGCTTATTTTGCTGAGCATGATCCCTTCCAGCTCCATCCATGGTGCTGCAAATTGCATGTATTTATCTTTTTTGAATGCTGAGTAATATTCCATGGTGTAAATGTACCACATCTTCTTGGGCATTTGGGTTGTTTCCAAAGCTTAGCTATTGTAAATAGTGCTGCTATAACCATAGGGGTGGAGGTGTTCTTTGGAATTGATGTTTCTGTGTCCTTTGGGTAAATACCTAGGAGTGGAATTGCTGGATCATATGGAAGCTCTATGTCCATTTTTATTTTCTTAAGAAATCTCCACACACTTCCATTAGAGGTTGCACCACTTGCATTCCCACCAACAGTGGATGAGTTTCTTTTTCAACATTTGTTATTTCCATTCTTATTGATATGGGCCATTCTCATATGCCATTGTCATAGGGGTGAGGTGATATCTCATTGTGGTTTTGATTTACATTTCTCTTACAAGAACATCTTTTCATAAGTCTGTATCAGAATGTCTGTTTAGAACAGTATCTATTTACAACTTTTGCCCACTTTTTCACTGGGTTCTTTTTGTTGTTGTTGGATTGTATTAGTACTTTGTAAATTTCGGAAATTAGCCCCTTGTCAGATATGTGATGGCAGCCTGTGCCAGTCTCCTGACTCACTATGCTCCTTTGGGTTCGGCTACCTTGCAAATGCACTTGCTGCCTGAGGGGCCTTTCCTCTTTTCCAAAGCCCAGGAATTGTTGCTTTATCTCCTTTAGGATCCTGAACAAAAGTCAATTCTGTCTTTCTGACTGATTGCCGTGGTCCTTGATAAATTGCCTTTCCCCCTCTTATAATCCAAAGTGCTATAAACCTGTGTTATAGCATTTGTCACATGGAATTATTTTTTAAATTTTTTTATTTTTATATTCCCCATACAATTGTACCCCCCTTATTTTGACCCCAATCCCTCCTTTCCCTGCTTCCCCCATAGTGTGTCACATAGAATTTCTTATGAACATTTTTGTCTCCCTAATTGGACTATGAGTTCCTGGGCCCAGTCCCATGTTTTATGCATCTTTGCATCTGCTCCAGGGCCTAGCAAAGGGCACGTCAGCTAGAAGGCATTCATTATCAGTTGAGTGAATGAATGTATTTCAGCCTTTTGGCCCAATGTATGGGTATTATAAGATCAGAAACCATCTGCTTGATACTTGTTTATTAGATTATTTGGCTATCTATGGTTTAGAATTTATGCCTTTATGTTCTCCTTTAGTACTGAAAAAAAATCTTGCATCAGTTGCATCAGTCACCCCCCCCACCCCCGCCCCATGAGGTGACCTCTTGATTCTCCCACCCCCTGGCATACTTCCAGAGGCCATCATGGAGTGGTTTGGAACTAAAGTGAATGAATTCCATATAAATAGAACTATAGCCTGTTCTTTTTTCTTATCACAATCTTTGAATTTGAGACTTATTTTTTTCTCTTTAAAGTGGTCCCCCTTACAGTGGGTGTTTCAGGTGGCAAAGAGGCACTGAAATAAGCAGGGTCTTGTACACGTACCTGCTGTGTCCTCATGAATGCATTTCGCCCCCAAAAACACTCCATTTGGGATTGGGAGAACGAGCTCCCTGAAAGTCCATTTATCATGTGACTAGAGTAAATGAAAGGTAATCCTTTTTAAATGTGAGTTATGGAACTTTGTAAAGCGCCATTTATCTGTGTCTACTGTGGACAGACTGCAGGGCAAGTTTATTACTTAAACGGAGCGTGCTTTCTGTTGTCTTTAGGGCTCTATTTCCCACACCTTGTTTCAGCACACAGTAATGCTCTACCATGGTGAATTTGGATGAAAAATTTGATTAAGCACCTAGAGATGCTTGTTATCAAACACAGAACAGGGACTGAAAGTACATGCTTGGCAAGCAAGCTGCTAAATTATTAGACTTCTGTGTCTATTTCGGCACACTTTGGTTTAATGTTTAATATCTACTATATGTGAGTAATATTTTCTTGGAAGAAAGCTAAACAGCCTTGGAAATTTGAAACCCTTTAGAACTCTCAACCAGGCAGGTATGTTTTAGAAGGATAAAAGGGATCAACGCAGCCAACCATAAATTTGAAAAACTCCACTAAAAATGAAATGGAAGTATTCTCCTATTTCTTTTTCCTCCCATAAAAACTGTTTTGAGGTGTGGCCACAAACCTTGGAACAAGATGGCATGATCTGCACTGACACAAAATGGATAACTCACAAAATATTTAGTTCCCAGTTTTACGTGGTTTCAAGTGGAGAGAGAAAACCTGTTCTCTCCAGACTTCCTTTTTAAACAACTTGCAGCAGCTGGTGAACAGACAAACGACGATAATGTCCTAATACATTCTAGACTAAACAGTCAAACAGCATTCACATTTATAAGGTTCAACAAACATTTATTCAGCACCTGCTTCTCCAGCTCCCTCATATCTTGTTTTCCTACGGGCCAAAACTGGTCTTCATTTAATGCTTATAGGGGGTGAATGCTGCATGACTATGTGGCAGATACTAGTACATACAGTAGGGTGCTTTCAGCACAGTCCTGGCACAGAGCATGCACACAAAACACGACAAAATGCAGGTGAAGCACGTCCGGACCTTTAGGAGGCCCTGCTCTGAACTCCGGTAAATAATGAGCACTTGGCCCCCTCCACTCTGTGCTTAGCAGAAATTAATGAAGGACTGGGGAAGGTACAATGCAGAACCGTTAAAGTGGGGGGAGGTTCTTAAGCAATTCATTTAGAATTGCTTTCCACCTCAGTCCACATGTCACTAGGAGGCCAGTCCCCTGCCAGGGACACCACCTTTCTTGGTAGGGGAGGACTCCTCTGGACATTTCGGTGGCACAAGAGGGACTCTCCAACATGAAGTTTCTGCAAGTCACTCCTCTTCTCTGTATCCAATTTAATCAATTTTTATCAGACTTTTAAAATAAAACTACACCCTCTTCCATTACGGTGAACACTTAAAACCACATTTATACAAAATTACCTTTTCACAAACGTCTATTAGAAGCCAAATTCCAGGCCTAAGCTATTGGCCAAATCCCATTAACAAAGGGGAAATTAAGTAAATTAGTTGATTAAAAACACCTTCATCAAAGTGGACTACTGCTGCCAACAATATTAAGAGTTGAATTATTGACTGGGG